CCATCACAATACATACAACTGTAAGTTTCTTTGTATTTTCCATTATCTAGAATACTAGGCTGTTGATACCATTTTGGACCAATTATTTCGTTTTTTCGCTTACATCCCTGATGTGATGCTCCTTTATAATTTCCTGTATTAGGGCAACAAACCATTGTTTTGAGTATATTTTGATTTGGAAATTCTTTCTTGCATATCCAGCATTCTGTTGCCCTTCTATGTCTTGTATAGTCACCAGGCTCCATGATTATTTCTGCTGGTGCAGATAAATCTGTTTGGATTTCTGCTAGCTCTATTTCCAATTTATCTACAAATTTTTCCATGGCATCTGGCCCTCTATATAAATCATGGCTTATAATTTCATAATTGAGGGAACTGTCCATGCGGACAACTACATAACTATATCCACAGGGTATATGACGCTGAATTTTTTCAGTACGGGTTAATTGGGCATTCTCTTCGGGGGTTAGCTCCGTAGTTAAGCATTCGAGGTCCCAAAATATTCGGTATGGATTGGCTTGCATGCATTTATGGTTATAGAATGCCTTGGTGCTCTTTTCTAATTTTGGAACTTTCGGCTCCTGTGGTGCTTCATTTAATCCTGAACATTTATGCTCATTAAACCCTTTTTCTCTAGAATAAACATGAAGACAATATCGGCAAAGGTATTTCCGCTCTTTGTGCTTACTATGGTTATAAACTAGTCTATGGATATCTTTTATAATACAATAGTGTGAGCGCGGGTTTTCTATTTCATCAGGCTCTGAGATAACCAGAAGATTAACCTCCTTAAATTCCGCGCCTCTTCTTTCTGTTATATACTGGAACTCAAGACGCTTATTTTCGTTGGACCATTTATACACACATAGGCTTATTTCAGGATTATTTTCTTCAAATTTTTGGTATACTGGCGTTGAGACTGGCACAGGAACTGGAATGCCCTCCATGTTTAGCTCCTCTACATAATTAGCATATATCCGGTGCGGATTTCTTTCTGGATGATTTTTAACTGGGTGCAAGGCCCCTAGTACGCACCATCCAAAGCACCAATCATCATTATTCTGCATGTTTATAACACCATTATTTCGTTTTGGCATGGTATCAGGTAGAGGTATATGACATCTAGGGCAAATAGGCTCGAAATCTGAAATCTCGATGCTAAATTCTAAAATATATTCTGGGTATGCATCAGACATGGTATAAAGTCTAACTGTTTCGTTTTATTTTACTTATATAAAAAAATCTTTTCTTTAAATAATTATTTCTATATTCAAAAAATGCGTGGTGCTTATACCTGCTTCTATCTTCATAATTCTGGTGCCTTTTGCGGAAAATCTTGTATGCTTCCTGCTGGGTGCCATTTACACCATAAAGCCAAAAAACGTTTTCCTTGCTCTGTGTGTTGCAAGCCTACTGCCTCTGATTCTGGCCGTTGCCATTTACATATCCGTGGGTTTTATGTCTCTGAATTCTATCATAGAGCCCGTGACAAAAAACGTTTTTCATGCTCCGTATGCTGTAAGCCTACTGCCTCTGTTTCTGGCCGTTGCCATTTACATAACCGAGAGCTTTATGTTGCTCATTACTATCATAGATTATCTACTTATACATATATTTTGTTTATCTGGAACTTGCTCTGAGCCGTTTTTATCCAAGGACAATTTTTTCTGGAAATGCCTTAGAGCCTATTTCTGATATGCGGAAAAAGAATTTTTTGGTTAGATTTTGGTTAGATTTAGGTGCATATCAGGAACTTGATCTGAGCCGTTTTTATCCAAGGACAATTTTTTTCTGGAAATGCTTTAGAGCC